GAATTGTTCTCAGGCAAGAGCGTAAAGAATATGTCCTTGACCAACCAATTCATGCTGAACCAGCGGCCAATGCTCCTAGAGCCACTAGAGATGCTTATGAAAGGCATGTCCGTGATGAAGTTGATGTCACTTGTCTGATGTTAACCATCATGGAAGCTAATCTTCAGAAACAGTTTCTGAATCGTCGTGCACATGACATCTCTAATGAACTCAAGAACTTGTTTCAGAAACAAGCACGGATCGAAAGGTTCGAGACAACCAAGGCTTTGTTTCACACAAGGCATACTGATGGGAGCCCAGTTGGACCTCACGTACTCAAGATGATTGAGTATAGGGACCACTTGGAAAGACTTGGATCTCCAATTAGTCAAGAGTTGGCTACTGATGTGATTCTCGCATCACTCACCCCGGCATATGACCAGTTCATCCTGAACTATAATATGCATGGTCTTGAGAAGACCTTAACCGAATTGCATGGAATGCTCAACTCCGCTGAGCAAAACATCAAGAAAAATCGGAGTGACGTTTTGATGATCAAAAAGGGAAAGGGATTCAAGAAGCATGGAAAAGGCAAGGTTGGTGGAAACAAGAAATCCAAAACTCTGGTTAAGAACTCGGGTAAAGGCAAATCTGTTGCCAGCTCTACTTCTAAAGAAGAGAAAAAATGTTTCCACTGCAACAAAACCGGTCATTGGAAGCGGAATTGCAAGGCGTATTTGGAAGAACTGAAAAGAAAGGGGCATGGTGATGCTTCCAATTCAGGTATCTATGTGATAGAAGTAAATGTTACTACTACTACTTCATGGGTATTAGATACCGGTTGTGGTTCTCACATTTGTTCAAATGTGCAGGGACTGACAAGGAGTAGAAGGATGGCTAAATGTGAAGTTGACTTACGAGTAGGCAACGGTGCAAAAGTTGCAGCATTAGCAATAGGAACATTTACTTTAAGTTTGCCCACGGGCTTAGTTTTAGAACTTGATAATTGTTATCATGTACCTGCCATTAGTAGGAATATAATTATTGTTTCTTGTTTGGACAAGAAAGGATTTCATTTTATAATAAAGGACAACACTTGTTCTATTTATTTTAATGAGATCTTTTATGGTAGTGCTAGTCTTATAAATGGACTTTATGTTCTAGACCTTGAAATGCCCATCTATCACATAAATACAAAAAGGTTTAAATCTAACGACTCAAACCCAACATACCTTTGGCATTGTAGACTAGGCCATATAAATGAGAAGCGCATTAAAAGACTCCATTCTAGTGGATTTCTTGACTCTTTTGATTTTGAATCAATTGAGGAGTGTGAATCTTGTTTATTAGGTAAAATGGCCAAGTCACCATTTACTGGTAAAGGTGAAAGAGCTCACGGTTTATTGGACCTCATACACTCGGATGTATGTGGCTCAACGTCAACAATGGCCAGGGGAGGTTTTCAGTACTTCATAACATTCACTGATGACTTCAGTAGGTTTGGTTATGTGTACCTAATGAAGCATAAACATGAAGCTTTTGAAAAGTTCAAAGAATTCCAGAATGAAGTTCAGAATCAACTTGACAAAACAATAAAGGCCATTCGATCAGATCAAGGTGGTGAATATTTGAGTCAGGAATTTAGTGGTCATCTAAGAGGTTGTGGAATTGTTTCACAACTCACTCCGCCAGGTACACCACAATGGAATGGTGTGTCCGAACGGAGAAATCGGATCTTGTTAGACATGGTTCGTTCCATGATGAGTCTCGCTGAACTACCAATCTCTTTCTGGGGTTATGCTCTTGAAACCGCTGCATTCATACTCAATAGGGCTCCAACAAAGGCTACATAAAGAACACCATATGAGATATGGACAGGAAAAGTTCCTAGTCTAACCTTTGTGAAGATTTGGGGGTGTCAAGTTTATGTAAAACGTTTACTTTCAAATAAGCTTGAACCCAAATCAGATAAGTGTTTATTTGTGGGTTATCCTAAGGAAACAAAAGGATATTACTTTTACAACCCATCAGAGAACAAAGTGTTTGTTGCTCGTAATGGTATTTTCTTAGAAAGAGAATTTCTTTCTGAAAGAACCAATGGGAGTAAAATACAGCTTGAAGAAATTCAAGAAGTTCTAGATAGTCAGACTATGCAAGCAGTCCCACAATCTCAGTCACAAGTTGTTGTGGATACACCTGAGATAGCACTCGCTCCAAGGAGGTCATCTAGGGTACGTAACGAGCCAGTTAGATACATGTTTATCTTAACTGAGCACCGTGGCGTATTATTAATAGACGAAGATGAACCTTTGACCTACCAAGCAGCAATATCGATCCCTCACTCTGATAAATGGCTAGAAGCCATGAAATCCGAAATGAGATCCATGGTCGACAATCAAGTCTGGGACTTAGTTGATCTACCTGATGGTTGTAGAACCATTGGGTGCAAATGGATCTACAAAAAGAAATTAGACAAAGATGGCAATGTAGATGTCTATAAAGCACGTTTAGTGGCGAAAGGTTACAATCAAATTCATGGTATAGACTATGATGAAACATTCTCGCCAGTTGCCATGCTTAAATCAATTCGGATTCTCTTAGCAATTGCCGCTCATTTTGATTATGAGATTTGGAAAATGGATGTCAAAACTGCTTTCCTAAATGGAAATCTAGATGAGGACGTGTATATGATACAACCTGAGGGTTTTGAACATCCAATCAATGCTGGGAAGGTATGCAAGCTCAAAAGATCAATATATGGTCTGAAGCAAGCATCTCGGAGTTGGAATCTTCGTTTTGATGCTGCAATCAAAGAGTTTGGTTTCAATCAAAACGAAGAGGAACCTTGTGTTTACGAGAAATTGAGTGGAAGTGCAATCACTTTCCTAGTCCTATATGTAGATGACATACTTCTCATTGGGAATGATGTTCCGATGCTTTCGTTTGTAAAGGCTTGGCTTGGAAAGTGTTTCTCAATGAAAGACTTGGGTGATGCATCCTATGTGTTAGGGATCAAGATCTATAGAGATAGATCTAGAAAGCTAATAGGACTAAGTCAAAGTAACTACATTGACAAGGTCCTACATAGGTTCAATATGCAAGATTCCAAGAGAGGGTTCTTGCCTATGTCACATGGCACACATCTCAGCAAGACTCAGTGTCCACAAACACAAGATGAGCGAGATCGAATGAATAGAATCCCTTATGCTTCTACTATAGGTTCTATCATGTATGTTATGTTATGTACTCGCCCTGATGTAGCTTGCGCTCTAAGCATGACTAGTAGATACCAGTCAGATCCAGGTGATAGTCACTGGATAGCGGTCAAGAATATTCTAAAGTACTTGAGAAGAACTAAGGATGTATTCTTGGTCTATGGCGGTGAAGATCAGCTCATTGTAAATGGTTACACAGATGCTGGGTTCCAATCCGATAAGGATGATTTTAGATCGCAGTCAGGATTTGTGTTTTGCCTCAATGGCGGAGCAGTGAGCTGGAAGAGTTCTAAACAAGACACGGTGGCTGATTCTACAACAGAAGCTGAGTACATTGCTGCTTCAGAAGAAGCAAAAGAAGCAGTATGGAAAAGGAAATTCATTATTGAGCTCGGTGTCGTTCCTAGTATTGTTGGACCAATGGACTTATATTGTGATAACAATGGAGCCATTGCACAAGCCAAGGAACCTAGATCACACCAGAAATCAAAGCATGTACTCAGGCGATATCATCTCATTCGAGAGATAGTCAATAGAGGTGACATCAAGATATGCAAAGTACCAACAGATGCAAATGTGGCTGACCCGCTCACCAAGCCACTACCACAAACAAAGCATGAACGTCATACTAGTGCATTAGGCATTCGTTTTGTTCACAATTGGTCCTAGTGCAAGTGGGAGACTGTTGGAAGTATGCCCTAGGACAATCATACTTTATGATTTATCAATGAATATTTAATGCTCATTGATTAATAAAGTCACAAACTCATTTTATGTTAATTATTATTGTGAGTTTTCTTTATTAATTTTTAGTCCCTGAATATTATGTTTAGTAGCTAATTAAGTACGTGACTTAATTTTGGAATGCTACACTTTAAAATAAGCATAATATTCTAATTGTCCATGGTCTAATATTATTAATCTGGGACATTAATAATTAATAGACCATTATGTGGATTAACTGATGACTATATTCCACTAGTCATGGGTATAGAGATATCAAGTTAATAACATAGATGCTTGTTAGTGAACAAGTTCATTGGACAAACCCAACTTGAGGACACTGCTAGGTTATATGTCATCAGTGTTGTCCTCAATAATGATGATGTGCTATATTCTTATACTTGAGATAATCATGGTTACTTGCATGCGAATTAATATGTATTAACACCATTAAATATTATTTTAAATGGGTAATTATAAAGGTGGTGATTGTACATATTATGAACCATGTAGTGGTATGTGAATTATCAAGATAGTTTTTGTCACTCTCGTATAGCGAGAGAAAGATATCTATTGGACCCCTTGACAAGTAAGATTAATTAGCATGGCCATGCTCAAATGAGGTGTCATTTGTTCAAAATTAATCTTACTTGGTAATCAAGAAATATTAATTGAGAATAACAAGGATGACATGATCTAACCTTGTCTCAATTAAGATATCGTTTGACAAAAGAGAATTATTAGCACAAATTAATCATTAAAAGGTTATGTCAGATTTAATTGACATTTATATATTTTGGATAGTCATAATGCCTTGCTAGAGGCCGCTTATGATTTGTGAGGCTTGAATTAATTTTTTAGCCCACTGCCAATAATATATAAACCTACAGGGTCACACACCTAAGTGATTTGGATCATTAATGTTCGTTAATAACATTAAAATAGCCTGATTAGCCCAATTTGAAATAGGGTTTCGAATGATATTGGGTTAGGGCCTCTTGGAGGGTTTTATTAGCTATAAAACTCCTTCTTTCCTCCTCTTATAAATAGGGCTATATAGACCCACAAATTTTAAGAGTTAAAATTCACTTCTAAAACCTAGAGTAGAGAGGAAGAAAGAAGAGAACGCTAGCACGTTCCCTGCGGCCGATCCAATCACGTGCGTGTGGATACCGGTAGAGCTCGGGATCGTTTTCTCGTACTGTCTGACATCCTTGATTAAGATTGCTATGTAAGTCCCTCTTATATCTTGTAATTTCGTTTATAGTAAGAACCTCAGATCCAGTTGTTTTCTTTTGGGCAATATTTTTTTTGTTTATTCCGCTGCGTTTTTCTGCCCGAAACCCAACACGGAGATAGTATTTATTATATTGTCTCGAGTCTTTTGACTTCCTCAAGTTTTCTCCTCATAGTATTCCTAGCTCTCATTTGACATGTAGGGTTTGATCAAGGAGATCAATCAAAGCGGGTTTACTAAGGCTCAAATGAAATTATAAGAGTCCGAGTTTTCTGCACAAATTGTGATGCCCAATTCTGTAGTTAGTCATATGGTAAGTATTTTTTAGTCATGGGCTCAAAATCTCAGGCAAAGACCAAGGCCAAGGAAAGGGTTCTTGCAAATGAGACAGCTCAGAGAATGTCTTAATTTTGTACGAGGATTTTTTAATATTTATTGCAGTTTTCTGTTGCAAGGTTTGGACAAATGTTAAATTTCAATTTTGATACGTCTGATTGGCCTTTGAGGTTTGAGTTTTGGTTTTAGTACTATAAAACAAAGTTAATTTTGACAATATATTGATTATATTATTGTTTCGCTCCCATCCTGCAAGAATTTGATGTCTATTCAACACTTCTTATGTATTCTAAGTTCTAACGCAGTTAAGTTCTTTAACTTGGAAAATTTCAATGTTCTTTATACTAATTCTTTCCCTTCTTTGAACTTTACAAATAGTTTTGAGACAATTATCCGGATATCATCAAACTAAATCAAACTAGAGAATGTGTTCATAAGAAATTGACAGCATCATGGGCATTCAAACCCACTAATTTCTTTCCATCGATGAAATTGTGCAAATAAAGAGATAAAAAAGCTAAAAGTACACACTGATTACGTTTAAAATTGTATATTCATTTTGGAATAAAATTTTTACTTGACATATATACATATAAAATAAAAAAGAGTGTTTTCAGCTCGAAGTAATAATTAGTGTTTTCAGCTATAAAATCAGGTTTTGAAGTAATAACTTTTGATGAAATAAAACACTAAAAACAAAAAGGTAGAAAGCATGTGGAGGAGTACTTTGAACTGTTTTCATTTTTTCTATCATACAAATAAAATATTTTTTTGGCCCACACTACGGATTTTTACTTTTAGAAATCATTTTTTCAAACACTATTAACTTTTACTATTAGAGTCCCGCTTCGTGTACACGCCGGGTTACACGCCGGTCAAATTGTCTGTATACAGACAATTTGACCGGCTAGACAGACAATTTGACCGGCGTTTTATGAAGAAAATCGATTTCCATACAGTCAAAATATCAAGAGTTGTCTGTATCACAGACATTTTAAACCTGAATTTTTCATAAAGTGTTTGTGATACAGACATTTTTTTATTTTTGTCTGTGTGAAAATCGATTTTCTTCGTAAATCGCAGCTCAATATGTCTGTGTAGTCGATCAAATTGTCTGTACACAGACAATTTGACAGGCGTGTAACCCGATGTGTAAAATTGACGTGTACAAAAGGAAATTTCTTTATTATTATGCACTTCTCTATATTAAAGTCATCATTTAAAGTACAAGCATCACAAAGATTCCCTAATAATAATAGCTCGATGAAATTGCTTTTCCTTTTATTAATTTGCATTCTGGAATGGATTTGTCATACATAAAATAATTGAGCTAACAAATGTGGAAGTGATCCAAACAGATAAAGAAACTGCTCTAAACAACAATAAAACATGAATAAAGTCCAATAAAGTATAAATATGTTATGTGTTATTCTTAAAATACTAATTTCTTTATCTTATTAAAAAATCAAACGATAACAACTTTCCAAACTAGGCATGTATGACTTTATATACTCCGTATTCTGAATGCATACATCGTTACTCTTCTGTACGTGTACGTAACAACATTAGCAAAGTTACATGAATATATTTACTCCCTTCGTTCCCAAAAATACTTCTCACTTTCCTTTTTGGGCTGTTCCCAAAAATACTTCTCATTTTCTCATTTTGGACAATTTGTGTGGTTCACATTCATTTTTTCTTTTTCTTACACAACCACAACCATACATTTCCACTTTATTCCACTTTCTTAATAAGCGTGCCAAGTCAAACCGGGAAGAATTTTTAGGAACGGAGGGAGTATTTCATAATTAACACTATACTATTAATAAAATTATTTATTTCTTAAAATATCATTCTCTCCGGTCCCAAAAGAACTTCATGGTTTGACTTCACGATTTTTAAGAAAGTGGAATTTTTGTTTTGACTTTCCTACTATGCCCACAAAAAGTAGATAGTGTAGTGAGAGAGAGAAAGTAGATGTAAAGTAGGTAATAAATAAGAGTATTGATGGATAGTGTACCCGGGGTAGCTTATCCGAGGGGTTATTACGAGGAATAACTAGAGAGAAGTCAGAGCAAGTAAGTAGAGAGAGAGAGTATATTAGAAATGTATTCAGCGTTTTCAGCGTGTTGTGTCTTGTGACTCGGTTACAAATGGGGAAATGGGGTGCTATTTATAGTAGTAATAAATGCCAGACAGGGACACGTGTCAAGCGTCCATTGGCCGAGAGGTCACCTCAGCTGGTTGGCGCTGGCAACCGCATGTGGCCGCATTTAATGCGGCTGTTGGATGGGACGTTGTACTGGGTACGGTGATCCATACGCATGTGGAGCGGATATTATGTCGGAAAAGGTGCCCTCGGCTGTAGATGACTAGTCGAGTGTTCTGAGTACCGGGGACCCCCTTAGTGCCGAGGGCTCCAGTTGCCGAGGGCTACTGATTTTCGCCGTTCTTCCCAGTAACTTTGTTTTCCTGTTTTGGCCCTTCTGTGAGGTTCAGAGCCTTCGTCCAGGGGGGCGAAGGCACCCCCTGGTGCGCATTGTGGGCTGCTTGGTACCTTGGGCGTCGTGATTTGGGCCTGTTGTGCTTCCTGGGCCTATTGGGCCTTTATTGGAGTAGTAGGAGTCTGTGGACCGAGGGTTCCCGGGCCATATACTCCATCAGGAGTCCCTCACTCCTTTTACCGAAAGGTACTTGAGGGAAAAGGAGTAATTGTGTTTGTCCTCTGTCGTTGTTCCGTTGTGGTTTGTAGAGTTGTGGGTAGTTCGCCGTTTGCTTATTCTGCCGAGGGCAGTCCCTCAGTTACCCACATGTCGGGACTTGAGGGGTCATGTTTGTGATTTTTGTGATTTTTCCCGAGGGGGTTCTCCAGTCCCCCACTCCTTGAGGCACTTGCAAAGTGGTGAAAAGGAGTAGAGTAGTCATGTTGCTGTTTTGGGCCGAAGGCTGACGCTTTCCGTTTCATTTTGGGGGGGTGCCTCGTTAAAAACCTCATTAGGAAAAACCCTGTGGGAAAAAATCCTAATGAGGGAAAAAGAGTGCACCGAATTCCCCCAATGATGAATCGAAAACGTGAAGCCCTGGTCTGAAATGGAGTACAATGCTGATGCCGAAGGCTATCCTTGTCCTGAAGGTGCATGTGTTGATTAGCCGGAGACGTGCTGTTGATATCCTGGGAGGGGCCGAAGGGGAGTCCCTCAATCTGGGGATCGAGGGCGTGATGAATGTGAGTAGTAGTTGAAGTGTCATCGGGGTGTCCCCTGTTTGTTGATTAGTTGGTGAGGAGTGTACCCGAGGGCTCCCGTTACCTGTGTGCCGTAGGCTATCTGTCCATGAGGCGTACTCCCCGGGGGCTACCCGGCCCTTAAAGTGCTGAGGGGGGATCCCCGAGGGGTGCGCCTGTTATGAAGCCGTGGGCTTCTGAAGGAGTGAGCCCGAAGGCATTTGTTACGTAGTGTGAGGGGCACAAACCGGGAGCGTCTCTGGGTAAGTGTACCCGGGGGCTCTTCTTGATGAAGCGGAGTGAAGCAAAAAGCCCGGGGGCTAGTTTCTTGGTTGATGAAGGAGTGGTCTGCTAAGTGTAGCCGGGAGCTCCCAGAATATAGTCGTTGGGAATATAGCCGTTGGAATACCTAACGTCAAAATATAGCCGTTGGGGGGGGGGGGGGCTTCCACGTGGTGTGCGCTCGTTGGCTGCCCGTGGGCGGGTGTCACCAATTGGGCGAAACCACGGTTTGTAATGATGGCAGTTCAACCGGAGGCCCGGTTTCCAGGCCCAAGCCCGGATCCAGGCGCCTATAAATACCCCATGGCCGGGCATCACTTCCCTTGTGCGATATTATTGTAGCGAAGCTCTGCTCAAATTTCTAGAGAGAGAAAATCCAGCCTTCGGTTGAATCCCCAGCTTTCAAGGTCAGTTCCCACCTGCTCTTCTCCTCTCTTAGTTAGGTGTGCCCTGTGCCCTTAGGCTAGGAGTTAGAACTTAGAACACTTAGCATTTCCGAGCCCTCGACCTAGTGGAAAGATGTCTTCTCAGAGTGATTCTCAGGACATATCGAGGGATCTCTCGATGGAAGAGGAGAGCTTCTCGGATGCGGGGTCCTCGAGCGACCAACCCTCGGCCCAGGAGGATATCGTGATGGCCATGGAGGTGCAGAACGAGTTAGTGGCTGAAGTGGAAGCCGAGGGCTTCGAGCAAGAGGCGGAGGATGAAGAACTTGCCCTCGCCGTACAAGTTGCAGAGGAGGAGGAAGAGAAGGAGAGGATGAGGGTGACAGTGGCTGTCCCTCCCCCTCGGGGTGCTGGTGAGGCAGGGAGCTCTCGGCCCCTCAACCCGACGCCGATAAGAGTGGCCCCCGGGAATAAGCAGGAGAAGAAGAAAAATGCTCCCAAGAAGAAGTGCGTCGTTGCTGATCAAGGGAAGCCCATCGATATGCCCGAGGGGTACTCCTGGCTGAATACTGCTGCCCTCGAGATAGGGTCGAAGGCTGACAGGGAAGATCTGTACGTGACTCAGCTGCACGTGGGGCCTTCGGCTGTGGTGGTGGCGCCAGGTCCTGATGATATGCTCTCCCGGGCTCCCGAGGGATGCATCGCTGTGCACATTCTGTCAGTATCAATGGGGCTCCGGTTCCCCCTACACCCATTCCTTCGGGAAT